CCTGATGTCTGCAACTTGCTGGTTCCAGATGTCTATTTTGCCAGCATTCCCTAAAACTTGATGGCATTCTCTGTGGGCAGTGACTGCCTATACCCTCCATCACACAGGTTGGCATTAGCGGCATTAGCAAGGCACTAGCCTCACCACAGTATCCAGGGCACATTTGGGACTACTTCTGATACAGTTCAGTATTGAAATACTGAACTGTTGGAACTTGCCGACATCTTACATTGCAGTGCTGCTACCTGGCTACTTTTCTTGCAGGAGCAGTCACTCACTTTGTACCGACGTGAATGCTCACAGTAGCTCTGCCTTGCCTTGTCTTTTAGCACAGATAGGTTGTCATATTCTACAGCATTGTGCAGGCAAGGGGGATTATGATCAGTCAGAGAATTGGTCATTAAATGTGTGGCATTGCTGCGCATTCCTCCTGACCTTAGACATCACACTGACCTGGATGACTTTCTCCGAGCAGACTGGCATCGTTTGACATAGTGCACAGCTGAGGTTTAAATATAGCACCCATGGTTGAAGGTCCAGGAACCGGTGAACGTTTTGCTGCTGCTTAACACCAGCTAGTGTGAGAGCAGTACTGTGGAATGAGAGCAGCAGAGAATTGCATGAAGTAACTTACTGAAACTCTGAGAGAAACCCTCCATGAGACTGCCTAAAATTGACACTTATCTGACCTTCGGTAACAATCAGCCCAATTTCATCTTTTATGTTGCTCTTTGTCTGACATCTTTGTAAATCTTCACAATGTAAGGTAAATGCAAGTTGCTGTTTCTTAAATAAAAAATCCCTCATTTACATATAGAAATCCACGTTTGGGCAAATATCAATACTTGCAGTGATTATTCCAAGTAGAATGCTGATAGTAATCCCTTTCTGTCTTTGGTGCTTAACATATACTGGCATCTAGTGACAGAGCATCTGTACTGCATCAAAGATTACACCGACCTGATCGTTTCATAGTAGTACGAATGCAGGTGGAACACAATAGAACTGTACAGCACAGGAATTAGCCCTTCGGCCTACGATATTGTGCCGAACTTGGCGCCAAATGAAACTAATCCCTTCTGCCTGCCCTTGGTCCATATCCCTCCATATTCATGTGATTACCTAAAAGTCCCTTAAATGCCCAAATGGTATCTGCCTCCACCACCAGCCCTGGCAGTGCATTCCAGACTTCTGCCACTCTCTGTTTAAAAAAAAAAAAAACTTGCCCCTCAGGTCTCCTTTCCCCCTCAAACCTTAAAGCATGCCACTTAATTTTTGGACATTTCAACTCTGTCAAAAGATTCTGACCATCAAACCTATCTATGCATCTCATAATTTTATAGACTTCTATCAAGTCTCCGCTCAGCCTCCACTGAGAGAGGAGAGAACAATCCGGGTTTTTCTAACCTCTCCTTACAGCTCATACCTTCTAATCCAGGCAGTATCAGGGTAAACCTCTTCTGCACCCTCTCCAAAGCTTCCACATCCTTCCTGTAATGTGGTAACCAGCATTGAACACAATACTCTAAATGCGGCCTAACTAAAGTCTTATAAAGCTGCAACATGATGCCCTGACTCTTGTACTCATTTCCCCGAAATAAAGGCAATAAAGGCAAGCATGCCATATGTCTTCTTTAGCACCCTATCTACTTGTGTGGCCACTGTCAGGGCGCTATGGACTTGAACCCTAAGATCCTTCTGTACATCAGTGCTGTTCGGAGTCCTGCCATTAACTGTGTATTTTTCCTTAACATTTGATCTCCCAAAATGCAGCACCTCACATTTATCCGGATTAAACTCCATCTGCTATTTATCCGGCTATATCTGCAACTGATCTATATTCTGTTGAATCCTGTGACAACCTTCTACAGTATCCACAATTCCACTGATCTCTGTATAGTCTGCAAACTTACTGACCCACCCATCTATATTTTGATCCAAGTCATTTATATATATCACAAATAGCAGAGGTCCAAGTATGGATCCCTGTGGAACACCACTAGTCACGGACCTCCAGTCTGAAAAGCACCCTTCCACCACTACCCTCTGTCTTCAATGGGCAAACCAATTCTGAATCCATGTGGCCAAGTCACCGTGAACCCCATGCATCTTATTCCTCTGGATGAGCCTACAGGGACATTTGTCGAGAGCCTTACTAAAATCCATGTAAACATCATCCACTGCTCTACCCTCATTGATCACCTTTGTCACCTCCTCAAAATTCAAGTTATTAAGACTGCTTCGCACAAAGCCATGCTGACTGTCCCTAATTAGCCCATGCTTTTTCAAATGTGCGTATATCTTATCACTAAGAATTCTCTACAATAGCTTCCCAACCATCGATGTGAGACTCACTGGTCTGTAATTTCCTAGATTATCTCTATCTCCCCTCTTAAACAGAGGGACAACATTAGCTACTCGCCAGTCCTCCTGAACCTTTCCAATGGCTAGCAAGAATACAAAGATCTTGGTCAAGGCCCCAGAGATCTCTTGTCTTGCCCCTCCCAATAACCTGGGCTAGATACAATTGGGCCCTGATCCACCTTGATGCTCTTCAAGAGATTTGACACCACTCTGTCTTGATCTCAAAATGCCCCAGCGTATTATCATGCTCCACACAAGTCGTACTATCCTCTAGATCCTTCTCCTGGGTGAATACCGACGCAAAGTACTCGTTTAGGAACTTGCCAACATTCTCTGGCTCCAAGCACAAGTTCCCTTCTTTATCCTTGAGTGGTCCTATCTTCTCTCTTGTTATCTTCTTGTTATTAATGTATGTATAGAATGCCTTGGGATTCTCTTTAACCCTACTTCCAAGGTCATTTATGGCCCCTCCTCACTCTCCTAATTCCCTGCTAGAGTACTTTCCTGTTTTCCTTATATTCCTCATGGGCCCTGTCCAATTTTAGCTTCCTAAACCTTACATATGCTGCTTTTCATCATTTAACTAAATTCACAACCTCCCTCGTTATCCAAATGTCCCATATCTTGCCATCCTTATCCTTCCTCCTTACTGGAACATGCCAGTCTTTAACTCTTCCCCGCAGTCTTTAAACAGTTCCCACATGTCAAATGTGGACTTGCCTCATAACAGTCCCTCCCAATTAACACTCCCTGGCTCCTGCCTAATACTGACGTAATTTGCCGACCTGCAATTCAGTACCTTACGCAAGGTCCTGACTTATCTTTGTTCATAGCTATCTTAAAACTTAAGGAGTTGTGATCACTGTTTCCAAAATGCTCTCCCACTGAAAGATCAGTCTCCTGGCCAGGCTCATTAGCCAATAAAAGGTCCAGTATGGCCCCTCCTCAAGTTGGACTATCCACGTCCTGTCTAAAGAAACCATTTTAGATGCATTTAACGAATTTCACCCCAACTAAGCCTCTTGCTGTAAGGGAGTCCCAGTCAATATTGGGGAAGTTAAAATCTCCCACTATGACAACTCTGTTTTTATTGCACCTTTCCATAATCTGCCTACACGTTTGTTCCTCAATATCTCAGTGGCTGTTGGGGGGCCTATATTGTAATCCTATCAGAGTGATTGCGCCCAGCTTATTTTGAGCTCCACCCATATTGCTTCAGTGGATGAGCCCTCCAACATGTGCAGGTTAACATTCACCCTGATTAGTAATGCAACTCCTCCACCTCTTTTACCTTCCTGTCTATCTCGTCTAAGACAACAAAACCCTGGAATATTGAGCAGCCAGTCCTGTCCCTCTCTCAACTAAGTCTCCGTAATGGCCACAACATCATTTCCCCACGTACTGATGCAGGCTCTAAATTCATCTGCCTTACCTATAACACTCCTTGCGTTGAAATAAACACACTTCAGCCCATTAGTACCATCGTGTTCATTTACCTGTCTCTGCCTGTCTTTTCTTTCTGATTTACTGGCCCTAACATCTGCCTTCCTCTCAATCTCTCCACTTGCTGGCGTGAGGTTCCTAGCCTCCTGCCACTCTCGCTTAAACCCTCCTGAGTAGCACTAGTAAACCTCCCTGCCAGGATATTGGTTCCCCTCCAGTTTAGGTGCAATCTGTCCTTCTTGTACCTGCCCCAGAAGAGGTCCCACTGATCCAAGAACTTGAAACCCTGTGCCCTGCACCAGCTCCTTAGCAATGCATTCATCTATCCTATCTTTCTATTCCTTGTCTCATTAGCATGTGGCACTGGTTGTAACCCAGAGATTACTACTCTCAAGGTCCTGCTCTTTCCTAACTCCCTGTACTCCCTCTGCAGGACCCCATCCCTCTTTCTACCTATGTTGTTGGTACCAAAGTGCACCATGACCTCTGGCTGCTCACCCTCCCCCTTAGGAATTCCATGCAACTGCTCAGAGCCGTCCCTGACCCTGGCACCAAGGAGGCAACGCACCGTCCTGAAGTCTCAGACGCGGCCACAGAAACACCTGTCTGTGCCCCTAACTAGTGAGTCTTCTACCACTATTGCTTACTTGGATCTTGCCCAACCCTGTTCTACAGCAGAGCCAGTTGTGGTGCCACAGTCCTGGCTGCTGCTCTTATACTCCCCTGAGAAGCTATCCCTGCAACAGTATCCAAAACAGTTATACCTATTTGACAAGGGAATAACCACAGGAGACTCCTGCAGTACCTGCCTGCCTTTCCTGGCAGTCACCCATCTGACTGAACCTCTGGTGTGACCACCTCCCTATAACTAGTGTCTATTACTGTCTCTCGCCCCTGTATGTTGAGTAATGAATGATCCTGTTAAAATTGTGGTAGATTACACCGAGAGTGGTTGGCGTGTGGAATGCGCTGCCAGCAGTGGTAGCGGAGTCAGATACTTTAGAGACTTTCAAGCGACTCTTGGATAGGCGCATGGATGATAGTGAAATGTAGGGTATGCAGGGTAGATTGATCTTAGTAGGATAATAGGTCAGCACAACAGCGTGGGCCGAAGAGCCTGTACTGTGCTGTGCTGTTCTATGTTCTATCTTACGCTACTTATTAAAAACAATCTACATCCGTTTCTATTGCAGAAGTTGGCCTGCTACACAGGAATGTGGTTTGATAATTGATGGTGCTGCTCTGTCACTAATAATGAAACCAACCCAAGATGGGAGCATGGGTAACTACAAAGAACTGCTGTTGCAAATATGTCAGAGATGTTCTGCAGTTTTATGTTGCCGAATGGCACCATTACAAAAAGCACAGGTATACTCACTACCTTTTTACATATGTTAAATGTCTGTCTATCCATGTGTGAATCCATTCATCTCTCTCTATCTATCCCATGTATTCAAGTATCTGTTTATCGGGGATGTTTTATTTGAAAGCATAACAAGGATTTGTTTTGAAATCTGTAATGTGTGTACGCATGAGAAGCTTTTATGAAGCAGTAATTCAAAATTAACTTTGGGATGTACTCCAGTAAGTGTTGCAGAATCGTGCTTCAAACAACAACCTTAGAGACGGGCAGGTTTGAACTTGGCTTGTCAGTAGACTGGGTTCTAGAATAATGCAGTAAATGTTTGCTCGTCTCTCTCACAGGTGCCTGTTACTGTTAAGAAAAGAGAAGGAAAATAGCCATGCAGATTTTCTTCTGACCTGTTGCAAATTTAGCAACATTTTAGGCTTCAGGGATAGAAGCAGTTTAAACACATCTGTGTCAAATGTTGCAAGATGGCAACGGAGTAGGACGCTGCAGTCGGAGCTCGTTCGCTCTGCCCACTCTTCTTTTCTTTTCTCTTCTCTTTTTCTTCCTCCTAGTGGTTTTTTTCTCCTCTCCTTTTTTCTCTTTGACTCCCAGCCTCCAATGACGATTCCCAGCACCCAGCGATGACTCCCGGCCTGCGCAGCAGCCTCCCAGCATTGGCATGGCTACCTCCCAGCCTGGCACAGCAGCCTCCCAATGTGGCATGGCAACCTTCTGGCCTCCTACAGCGGCCTTGTGGTGTGGCGTGTTGCTCGTGTGGACTGGAAGCTAAGTGCCAACGTGGTCTGCTGTCCTGAACACTCTTCTGTAATGCTGAACATTTTATTTCTGTATTGTCTAAATTTTGTAACAAAAGAAGCTGTGCCTAGGCACTTTCGTATCTAAGTCGGTGCCATAATTGGCAATGTATAAACTTTCAGTGTACTCCTTGAGTTCATGTGACAATTGAGGCTGTTCTGGTCTGCTCTGTACCATTCCGCTCCTGCTCCTGCTCCCGCTCCCGCTCCTGCTTCCTCTCAGCATTGCTCATTAATTATCTTTTTGTGGGCAGCTCCTTTGGTCTTTGATATTTCTACTCAAAATTGTTATTTAAAGGACACAAGTAATTCCATCTTTTAATCCTCCACGTGGAGCAGGATGAGCCACATAACGTTAATCAGTGTTTCTGCTTTTTGGATGAAGGACCCTTTTCAAATAGATTAGTAGTTAATGTATCCACCCCACCCTCGAGAAAACATCAGTGTTGTGCATGCTGCATTTTCAAAAGTGGTTTAATAATGCTTTTGAGAAATCAAGTTTTTACTTTTTAATCTATTCATGGATGTTAGCATTGCAACAGAGGCCGAGGGTTGGACATTCCCGAAGCGGGGGCAGTGTCTGAGAATTAGGGCAGAACCGTTCAGGAGAGAAGTTAGGAAACACTCTTATACACAAACGGTGGGAGATGTTTGGAACTCTCTTCCACAAGTGGCAGTGGACGCTGGTTAAGCTGTTTATTTTAAATCTGAAATAGGTAATTTTTTTGTGAAACAAAGGTATGGAAGGATATGGGCCATAGTCAGGTGTATGGAGTTAGGCCACAGATCAGTCATGATCTCATTGAATGGTGGAACAGGCTCAATGTACAGAATGGCCTACTCCTGTTCCTAACTGGGAATAAATAAATGCAGATCCAGCCGATGAGACACAAGCACCCACCCCAACAAAAAATAGGAGGGAGACACCGAACAAATTCTTATGTATTAAAAAGAGTCAGTTAAATCAAAATAATTTGCTGGGTGCAAGTCTCCTTGGCTGTTGATTGTTCCCTGCTTTTCGTTATTGATAATTGTAGGGAATGATTACTGTATTGCATTCTGAATTCTTACACTGAATTGGATGTTAGATAGTGCTCAGTGAAGAGTTCTAATGTCAATATTTTAAGTTTACTGCAAATTTGCTGTTGACTGCTAGTTGAATAGTTTCCCTATTTGGCAATTATCACTCAACTTCTATAAGGGGCAGCATTAAGTTTCTGCTAAAAGATTATTATCACCAAGATAGAGACCATCTGTTCTGTTCTTGTTGCTGTTCTTTTTTCTCTTCCTGTTGCTAACCAAATCTTCTCTGCAGATCATTAGCCCCATCAACCCCTGAAGCTCCGATTCTCTTATTTCCTTCTGAGCTCATCTTGCTTATGATATTACTTCCGGTTTCTTTTATGTTCCTATAAAATCACAGGCCAAATTCTCTATCCTTTGTTACTTTCCTTGCTACATAATTTAATCTCAATACTTCCTGTCCATCCCTCTTTCAAAACTGCCATAATTGCCCTGTTGGAAATCAAAAGCATGCACGATCCATCTGTCATTGCAAATTATGATCATATTGTGAACCTCCCTTTCGTATACCTCTCAGCCTGTGCAACTCCACTCTTGCCCTGTTCTCACAACACCACACCCTAACCAAAATTAAGAAATATGTTTTGACTGTAGGACCTGCTGGCTGTAACGATCGACTACTACGATCCTGGCAAAACAACTCCCTGTCATGACCCTCCCAACGTGCTGCAGCATGTTTAGAGTGCTCTTTCTTTCATCTGTTCTTAACTCCTACAGCATCTCTAAGCCTTGCATCATGACAACCAGAGTTCCCCAAGGATCCGTCCTTAGTCCCCTGTCTTAACTCCACTACATATTTTCTTTTCTACAACACTGGCTGTCTAAATATTGACAGCCACCATGTCTATGATGGTGTCTGTAAAACCTTTTTAGCTGGAACAATTATTCTTCTGCTTGTGTTCTTCAGGGTCAAGGAAGATTTGCTCCCACTTATGGGATTGGGGGTTCTGCAGTGGCTGAATCCTGGAGCCACAGACACTGTGGCCAGTGGTGTTTGATGAGGTGGGTGGGTGGGTGGGACCCTTTCGATTCTGTACGGTCTTCCCGCTGCTTGTGCTTGGCCTCCACTTGCTCCATTCGGTGACCCTCAAAGTGGTTAGCAACTTCACAGATCTAGGGCAAGCTATTCCCCATGTCAGTGGAGGAATGTTGCATTTGTTTAGGGAGATTATCAGGGTGTCCTTGTCGCATTTCCTCAGCCCTCCTACAGAGCTCAGAGAAGAGCACTTGTTAAGAGAGTCTTGTGCCAGGCTTTCGGACAACACGGCCCATCCATCACAGCTGTTTGTTCATAACCAGCATCTTGATTCGAGGGAGCTTGGCCTGGGAGAGGATGCTCACATTAATACATCTGTCCTTCCAGTGGATTTGCAGGATTTTGCGAAGGCAGCGCTGATGATAACTCTCTTGGGATTTAAGGTGTCTGCTGTACGTGGACCATGTTTCTGATCCTTACTGGAGAGTGGGGACCACAGCTGTCCTGTAGACTATGGGCACGGTGCTGGGTTTGAGGGCTCTGACTTTGAACATTGTTCCTGAGGCGTCCAAAGGCTGCCTAGGGCCATTGGATTTTATTGTCAGTCTCTGCTCACACCCAGAGGAAGTGTCTGAGGTATGGGGAATGATCCACATCGTCCAGGGGCCTGTCCTAGATTTTGATGATTGGAGTCAGTGTTATTTGGTAAGAGCAGCCTGGTAGAAAACCTTTGTTTTCCAGTTGCTCAGTCTGAGGCCCTTATACACCTCGGTGAATGTGTCGATGATGGTTTGTAGCTCAATCTCTGAGTATGGACAAACGCTGGCATCACCTGCGTACTGCAGCAAAATGGTAGAAGCTGGGAAGGTCTTTATTCTGCCCTGGAGGCTCAAAGGTTGAACAGTTTCCTTCTTGCCATGTGGGTTAACTCCACTCTGGCAGGGAACCTCATCGCGATGAGGTGGAGTTTTGTGGCAAGAAAGATGCCAAAGAGCGTTGGTGGGCTTAGGCAACCCTGCTCGACCCCAGTTCCCATTTGTATTGGGTCTGTGATGGATCTGATGGTGAGGATCACAACTTGCATGTCATCTTGAAGCAGTCAGAGAATGGTAATAAACTTCTGAAGGCAACTGGATTTTTATCACTGTCAAAAGCTGAGCTAGATAGCCTGAACCTCAGCACTACTTCTTGTTCTGTCACAAAGACTGACCGCTTCCACCTCTGGCACTGTCCATCTCTACCCCTAGTTTGGCCCTATTATGACTGAAAACCTCTGTCATTTTCAGATTGAATTTTAATGGCTCTTTCACAGTAACTTTCAGCTCATTCAAATTCTGTCTGTATCCTATCCTAACCAAACAATGTGTCACTGACGTGCGAGTCTTATCCTTATTGACCTTTTTGTAATCTTTTGTTCTCCCTGGTGCCTCATATTTCTTGCACTATTGTAAGTTCTTATATTAAATGATTGTCCTCTCTCCAACATTTTCCAGCCCTACAAACTCCCAAGTATTCTTCTCCTCTGTCTTTGACCCCCATAATGTCCTGTCCCTATGCCCCACCGTTGGCAGCAGTGGCTTCAGTTACCTACACCTAGCGTTGGTTGATTTATTTATTGTCACGTGCACCGAAATACAGTGAAAACCTTTGTTTACGAGGGTATAGGCAGATCATAGTAAGCGAAGGATGTACAGATCAAAAAGACTTAGGCAGACGCATACAGGTTACATTGCACAGGGCATATGCGAGGCGAGATCAACATTAGCAACATCAGTGTTATTTGAGGTTAGACAATCCATTCACCAGTCTGATAACGGCCAGGAAGAAGCTGTTTGTGAACCTGCTCACGCATGTTTTCAGGCTTCTGTATCTTCTGCCTGACGAAAAGGTTGCAGGAGGTCATTACCAGGGTGCAATGGGTCTTTGATGTTAAGAACATAGACATAGAACATAGGACAGTGCAGCACAGTACAGGCCCTTCGACCCACAATGTTGTGCTGACCTATTATCCTACTAAGGTCAATCTACCCTGCATACCCTACATTTTACTATCCTCCATGTGCCTATCCAAGAGTCGCTTAAAAGTCTCTAAAGTATCTGACTCCACTACCACTGCCGGCAGCGCATTCCACATACCCACCACTTTCTGTGTGAAGAACCTACCTCTGACATCTCCCCTATACCTTCCTCTAGTCATCTTAAAATTATGCCCCCTCATGATAGCCATTTCCGCCCTGGGAAAAAGTCTCTGACTATCCACTCACTCTGTGCCTCTCATCATCTTGTACACCTCTATCAAGTCACCTCTCATCCTTCTTCGCTCCAATGAAAAAAGCCCTAGCTCCCTCCAGCTTTCCTCATAAGACCTGCCCTCCAGTCCAGGCAGCATCCTGGTAAATCTCCTCGGCACCCTCTCTAAAGCTTCCACATATTTCCTATAATAAGGTGACCAGAACTGAACACAATATTCCAAGTGTGGTCTAACCAGAGTTTTATAGAGCTGCAGCATAACCTCTCAGCTCTTAAACTCAATTCCCCTGCCAATGAAAGCCAACAGACCATACGCCTTCTATTACAACCCTATCAATTTGGGTCGCAACTTTGAGGGATCTATGGATGTGGAACCCAAGATCCCTCTTCCTCCACACTGCCGAGAATCCTGCCATTAACCCTGTATTCTGCATTCAAATTCAACCTTCCAAAATGAATCACTTCACACTTTTCTGGGTTGAATTCCATCTACCACTTCTTTGCACAGCTCTGCATCCTGTCAATGTTCTGTTGCAACCTACAACGCTGTCCACAACTCCACCAACCTTTGTGTCATCGGCAAACTTACTAACCCACCCTTCCACTTCCTCATCCAAGTCATTTATAAAGATCACAAAGAGCAGAGGTCCCAGAACAGATCCCTGCGGAACACCACTGGTCACCGAGCACCAGGCTGAATACTTCCCATCTACTATTACCCTCTGTCTTCTATTGGGCAGCCAGTTTTGTATCTAGATAGCCAAATTTCTCTGAATCCCACACCTCCTTACTTTCTGAATGAGCCTACCACGTGGAACCTTATCGAATGCCTTGCTAAAATGTTGGTAGCCTTTCCGCGACAGCGAGCCACGTAAATGGAGTCCATGGATGGAAGGTTGGTTTCCGTGATGATCTGGGCTGTGCACACCACCTTCTGTAGTTTTGTATGGTCGTGGGCCGAGCAGTTGCCATACCAGGCCATTATGCACCTGGACAGTATGCTTTCAATGGTGCATCTGTAGAAGTTCGTGAGGGGTTTTATGGACATGCCAAATTTCCTGAGCTGCCTGAGGAAGAAGAGATGTTGTTGTGCCTTCTTGACCGTCACATCTGTCTGGGAACACCAGGACAGGTTATTGTTGGTTATTGTCACTCCGAGGAACTTGATGCTCTTCATTCTCTTGGCATCAGTTCCATTGATGTAGACGGGTGCATGTCTCCTCCTTTCTGTTTGAAGTTCACGATCAGGTCTTTGGCTTTGGCGATGTTGGGAGACAGGATTGTTTTCATTGCACCACGTCACCAAGCCCTCTATCTCCCTTCTGTATTCTGACTCTTCGTTGTTAGATATCCGTCGAACTACATGGTGTCATCAGTGAACTTGTCGATGACGTTTGTTCGGAATTTGGCAACACAGTCGTAGGTGTAAAGGGAGTACAGTAGGGGGCAGAGGATGCCTCCTTGGGAGGGCTCCAGTGTTGAGTGTTATTGTGGAGGAGGCGCAGCTACCTGTCTTCACAGATAGCGGCCTGTGGGTCAGAAAAGCTGAGGATCCAGTTGCAGAAGGGGGAGCTGAGACCAAGGTCACGCAGTTTTGAGGGGGCGATGGTGTTGAAGGTGGAGCTGTAGTCAATGAACAAGAGTCTGACATAGGTATCTTTGATATCCATTTGTTTCAGGGATGAGTGCAGGGCTAGGGATATGGTATCCTCTGTGATAGTAGGAACTGCAGATGCTGGAGAATCTGAGATAACAAGGTGTAGAGCTGGATGAACACGGCAGGCCAAGCAGCATCATTTCTGAAGAAGGGTCTAGGCCCGAAACGTCAGCTTTCCTGCTTCTCTGATGCTGCTTGGCCTGCTGTGTTCATCCAGCTCTACACCTTGTTATCTCTGGTATCCTCTGTGATCCTGTTACGTCGGGAGGCAAATTGTAGGAGATCGAGGTAGGCTGGGAGACTGGAGTCGATGTGGGCTGTGACCAGCCTTTTTAAGCACTTCATGATTAAAGCTCCCCCTCTAAGCCCCACTGGTTTTACAATATTTTTAGGCCAACCATTGATTCAACATCATATTTTAAAATTATATCTCTGTGAAGTACTTCGGATATATTTCTATGCTCAAGGTAATCCATAACTGAGCAAAGTAGTTTCAATGCCAAAAATTCTTTCAGGATACACCATTCATTTACATGTAACACAGGAATAAAATTGTTTCTCAGTTCTGGTGCAAAGCAGGTGAGAACATATGGATAAGCTGTTTCACATCCTACTTAACTTCCATTAATAGGAAGAGAAGACAGGCAGAGTGTAAAATAGACTGTCAGTTGGTTACTGTCTGTTTTTGTGTTTCTGCTGAAGACAAATTCCCCTGTAATTTGACAAAACTATTAGCCATCATGGTTTCTGGCACCACAGCTTGTACCATTCCACATATGTGAATTCTGCATTTTTTAACTCCCAACTACAAAACTTGTATTTGACAGCATGTACTGCTACTAGAAATTATGATTTTTTTTATATTACTTTCCCTCATTAGATTGTAAAAATGGTGAAGAATACAAAGGAGCATCCTATAACATTAGCAGTCGGCGATGGTGCAAATGATGTAAGCATGGTTCTAGAGGCACATGTTGGGATTGGTAAGAAAACTTTGTTTTGCAGTTGGAACAGTGCCATCATTAGTTAGTAATCCTATTCATAAATAATTTGCATTTCACTTTGCATTTCCATCAAGATTAATGTGAACATCAGCCATAATGATGAATGGTGGAGCAGGCCAAGTTGCCAACTCCTTATTTCTAATGCTGTTTGTACAGAGTTCTGAATATTTATGCTCCCATAGCTTGAATGCTGGGTACAGTTTGGTTTCTTTACCATTTTGAAAGGGCACAGTGGGGGTATAGTGGTAATGAACTAGTAATCCAGAATACCAGGTTAATCCTCTGAGATGTGGGATTAAATCCTGTAGTTGCAGATGCTTAAATTTTAATTCAATAATAATTCAATGAGGCTATTGATTATTACTGAAACCTGCCTGGTTTACTGATAGAGATAACACAGTGTCACTGGTGTCCTTTAGGGAAGGAAATCTTTACGTGCTCTACAGGTGACTCCAGACTCCTAACAATGTGGTTGACTTTTACGTGTCCTCTGGGCAGGAAAGGATGGTCAGTAAGAAGTCATAGAGGATATTTGCCTTTACTGGTCAAGGCACTGAAGACAAAAGTGAGGAGGTTATGATGGAACTGTATATAAAGCATTAGTTAGGCCACAGCTGGAATACTGTGTGCAGTTCTGGTCGTCGCGCAGTAGGAAGAATGTAATTTCTCTAGAAAGGGTGCAGAAGAGATTCATCAGGATGGTGCCTGTGTTGGAGCCATTCAGCTATGAAGAGAGATTAGATAGACTAGGTTGCTTTCCTTAGAGTAGAGAAGGTAGAGGAAGGAATCTGATTGAGGTATACAAAATGCCAAGGGTGTAGATGGGCGTATAGAGTGAAACCTTTCATCTTAGTGGGGTCAGTAACCAGGGGCACAGTTTTAAATTAAGGAGCAGGAGATTTTGGGGGAAAATAAGTTTCATCTAGGACATTGTGGGTTTCTGAAACTCACTGCCTGAACGGTGGTATAGAGGCAAGAACCCTCAAGATGTTTCAGAACGATTTGGATGATCACTTGAAGTACCACAGCATACAAGACTACGGGCCAAATGCTGGAAAATGGGGTTCAAATAGATGAATGATTGATGAACGACATCTTTAAATGCCATAAAAACTCCAACATTATGACTCTTAAATGCAGGCCTGGCCAATGACATCCAGAATCAATGAACAAACTTAAAAAAAACAAGTGAATTAATTGAATCCCTAGGCAAGTGAGTAGAATGGATGAAAGGAGTTTAGAAGAATGGCAAATTATTTCATTAAAATGTATGAAGTTTTTAGACGACTTGACACTTTGACAGGTTAAATGATGCAAAGGTTTCTTCACTGTGTTGCAAATCTTTGGAATTATCTATCCAGGAGGCTGTGGCTGCTCAACACTAAACAATGGTTGGTGGATTTTTGTACACCAAGGAAATAAAGGGAGAGCGCTGGGAAGTGGAGTTAAGCAAAAAGGACATGCATAATATTGTTGAATTTGCAGAAAAGATTTACAAAAATAATTCCAGAGATGAGAAACTTAAGTTTTGTGCATAGATTTGAGAAGCTGAGGTTTTTTCTCCCCTCAGTGAAAAGAAGGTTGGAAGGAGTTTGATGGAGATTCAAAATCATCGGGTGTCCAGACAGAGCAGTTGGAAGGAATTTGGGTGTTGACACAGTCAGGCACACCCAAATAAAGGTGAATGGCATTGGAACCAAAGGAAATATGAGAGGAAAGTTTTTTTTTAATTAATTCATTGATTGGTTAGGATCGGAAGTGCTCTGATTGAGAATGTAGTAGACATAGGTTCAATCATGGTTTTCCAAAGGAAATTCAACAGCCTGGAAAACTAAATGGGTGTTAGGAATAGCTGGGTTACTGTTAGACAGAGCTAGGACAGAGAAGATGAGGAAGATGGCTATCTGTGCTGAAATCATTCTATGATTCTATTCTATGAATGGTGGAGCAGTCTTGTGGGATTGTATGGCCTATTCTAGGTCCTTTTTCTGAATTGTTGGCATGTCCACCATGAATGAGGGTTATGAGCAATTTTTCATCTTTTTGTCATTTAAAGTAGTGGCCTATACATACCTTGAATTGATTTAAATGGTCTTAAATTTATTTCAGGTTTAAAAGGCAAGGAGGGTCGCCAAGCAGCGAGGAATAGCGATTACGCAGTACCAAAGTTTAAACATCTGCAGAAGCTTCTACTTGCTCATGGACATTTATACTACATTCGGATCGCACACCTTGTGCAGTATTTCTTCTACAAGGTATGCTTTTCAGTATGTCTGTCAGCTGATGTTTGCAGTGTCTTTACAATTTAAATTCTTTGTCACTATAATAATGGAATTTTGTTCAACATTGTCATGTGTAAACTTAAAATAAAGAAAACTGTGCATCTTAGGGAGGTGGAAACTTTTCTGAACCTGTCCAGCAGTAACTTTAACAGTTAAGAGGTTTAACCCAAAGGCTGTCTAACAAAATATTTGTTGATAACATACTGCAGTATCTTTCTCTGGCTTTATTTTTATCGAAATATGTGCTAGTTTATGCTCTCGTATTTTTAAGCAAAGCTAAGAAATCCCTTGAATGCTATGCAAGGGGAGTTTAAGTGGTTTTCCATAAAAGCCTGAACTAGAGCAGTGAAATAACAGCTTTTATTTGTGTAGTGCTTTAAACATAATGAAATGTCCAAAAGTGCCCATCTTTGTGAATTAGAGTTTATTTGGCGGTGTTTTCTTTTACAGAATCTTTGCTTCATCTTTCCTCAGTTTTTGTACCAGTTCTACTGCGGATTCTCTCAGCAGGTTTGTATTATCCTGTTCCTGAGTAGTGGAAGCTGCCTGTGTTTATAAGACTGCTCTTGACCTGGAAGAATAGCTATCGAAAACTCCAATCTCAAATGATACCAAAAGTGAGGTGTAATGTTATGCTTCTTTGGGTTGAATGATAAACAAAATCTTTCACTCCCAACCCCACTTTGTTCCACTTTCTTTTCTTCCCTCGCCATCCACCTGAGCTTTGTTTTAATCGTCTGTCCCATCCTCTCCTCTTAAACGACAAAATCTAAACCTGACATTTTGTTCGCTTGTGTTTTTGTAATGATTAATTCATTTGTGAAATTTTATCCTGACTTTCTGTTTCACTGTTTCTTCCCATAAGCCACTCTATGATGCAACATATCTTACATTTTATAATATCTGCTTCACTTCTCTGCCAATATTGTTGTATGGTCTTCTGGAACAGCATATAAGCATTGAAATGCTGAAAAAGGATCCCTCTCTCTACAGGTAAATAATAATTCCAACTACCTACTAAAGACTGTTCTGATATATTTTATAACATTAATAGGAACCGTGTTAATCTCTACAAATATCTGAATGTGGCACCTGTGCAGCAAAGTCAAAAAACCACAAACCTGTTGGGCTGCTTGTGGTAAGATTGCTATGTTTTCCAAAGCATGCTCCCAATTTGTAATATGTAAGGGTGTTGCTTCATCCTTCCCCTCAAACTTGCTGTTTGTAAATGCTTGCTGTTATTTTAATTTTGTTGAATCAGTTTAATGATATCATTCTACTCCATGATATCTCCCTAATTTTGAGGAGTTGTTCCAGGAGATTGGGTAATTCAGTGATTTAGCAAGTCTTTACTCGTTCATTAAAACGCAAGAAATAGCAGCAGAAGTAGGCCATATGGTCTCTGAAGCTTTCCCTGCTATTTCATGGCTTATCTGTCTCACCTCCTGTTTCATACCAGCCCCTCAGCCCTCAACTCTCAAGTTATTTCAAAAGTGTCTTTTTTAGAATTAGAATTAGCTTTGTGCTCATTTGAGTAAACATGACAATATTGAAAAGTTTACAAGTTGCTACTTATGGCACCATCGTGGGTACAAAGGTACCTAGGTCTAGATTCTTAAGTACAAATTCTGAGGGAGAAAGTACTTAGAAAAGTAAAGAAATTAAAAGTCCAGCATTACGGATGATAGAAATAAATTAGAAAAATAAAGAAATTAAAAGTTCAGAATAATTTGTAATCTAGCCTCGACAACTCCGAGATCTGTGACCAGCATTGTTCCACAGGGATCAGTACTTGGTCCACTTTTGTTTGTCATTTATATGAATGATTTGGATGAGAATATAGGAGGTATGGTTAGTAAGTTTGGGGATGACTCCAAAATAGGTGGTTTAGTGGAGAGTGAAGAAGCTGGTCTAAGATAACAGAGAGATCTTGATCAATTGGGTCAATAGGCTGAGGAGTGGCAGATGGAGTTTAATTTTGATAAATGTGAGATATTGTATTTTGGTAATACAAACAAGGACATGACTTGTACAGTTAATGGTACGGTCCTGGGTATTGTTGTACAACAGAGAGACCTAGGGGCTCAGCTGCATAATTCTTTGAGATTTGCGTGACAAGTGGACGTGGTGGTTAAGAAGGATTTTAACACACTTGCCTTCATTGTTCAGACCTTTGAGTATAGGAGTTGGGAGATCTTGTTGATGTTGTGCAGGATGTTGGTGAGGCCTCTTCTGGACTATTGTGTGCAGTTCTGGTCGACCTGTTATAGGAAGGATATTATTAAAGGCTTCAGAAAAGCCATTGCGGCCAGGTCTCTGGCACTGAGCCTGGCTCTGTGGCTCAGAAGGGAACGGGGGAGAATAAGAGAGCGATAGTGATAGGAGATTCACTGATTAGGGGAACAGACAGGAGATTCTGTGGTACTGAGCAACACTTGCAGATGGTATGTTGCCTCCTGGGTGCCAGGGTCAGGGATGTCTCTGATCGAGTCTACAGGATTCTTAAGGAGGAGGGTGAGCAGCCAGAAGTCATGGTACACAACGGTATCAATGAAGTAGCTAGGAAAAGGGATGAGGACCTGAAAAGTGAATATATGGAGTTAAGTTGGAAGCTAAAAGCCAGGACGACCAGAGTAGTAATCTCCAGGATTAGTACCTGTGCCACGGGCTAGTGAGGCTAGGAATAGAGAGCGAGTGCAGCTGATCACATGGCTACAGAGCTGGTGTAGGAGGGAGGGCTTCAGGTTTGTGGATCATTAGGATACCTTCTGGGGAAGGTGGGACCTGTACAAGAAGGACAGATTGCACCTGAACTAGAGGGGCACCAATATCCTGGCGGGAGGTTTGCTAGAGCTCTTCGGGAGGGTTTAAACTAGTTTGCCAGGGGGATGGGAACCGGAGCTACGGATCAGAGAATGGGGTAGCTGGTGTATTGGCAGATACGGCATGCAGAGAGTCTGAGGAAGGATAAGCAGTTGATAGGGCAAAGTGGCAGACAGTGCAATGGTTTGAAGTGTGTCTATTTTAATGCAACAAGTGTTAGGAGTAAGGGTGATGAAATTAGAGCATGGATCAGTATTTGAAGCTACGATGTTGTGGCCATTACATTTGGATTTGGATAATACAGGGGCAGGAATGGTTGTTGGATGTTCCAGGGTTTAGATGTTTCAAAAGAAATAGGGAGTGAGGTAAAAGAGGTGGAGGTGTGGCATTGCTAGTCAGGGATAGTATCACAGCTGCAGAAAGGGAGATCATTGAGGAGGGTTTGTCCACTGAGTCAGTATGGGTGGAAGTCAGAAACAGGAAAGGAGCAGTCACTTTATTGGGCATTTTCTATAGACCCCCCAATAGTAACAGAGACACTGAGGAACAGATTGGGAGACAGACTTTGGAAAGGTGCAGAAGTAATAGGGTTGTTGTCATGGGTGCCTCCGCCTTCCCTAATATAGACTGGAACCTCCATACTGCAGATAGTTTGGATGGAGCAGTTTTTGTCAGGTGTGTCCAGGAAGGATTTCTGACTCTATGTAGATAGGCTGACTAGAGGGGAGGCCATATTGGATTTGGTGCTTGTCAATGAACCAGGTGTCAGATCTCTTGGTGGGAGAGAATTTCGGTGATAGTGATCACAACTCCCTGACCTTTACTATAGTCATTGAGAGGGATAGGAGCAGACGGTATGGGAAAATATTTAATTGTAGGGGGGGAATTACGGTGCTATTAGGCAAGAACGACGGAGCACCAATTGGGAACAGATGTTCTCAGGGAAATGCACGACAGAAATGTGGAGGTTGTTTATGGAGCACTTGCTACGAGTACTGGATTGGTTTGTCCCACTGAGGCAAGGAAGGGATGGTAAGGTGAAGGAACTTTGGATGACAAGACATTTTGGAACATCTAATCAAGAGGAAGAAGGAAGCTTACTTAAGGCTGAGGAAGCAAGGATCGAACAGGGCTCTAGAGGGGTTACAAGGTAGTCAGGAAGGAACCGAAGAATGGACTTAGGAGAGCTAGAAGGGAGCATGAAAAAGCTTTGGTGGGTAGAATTAAGGAAACCCCCAAGGCGTTCTATACTTAAGTGAGGAACAAGAGGATGGCCAGAGTGAGGGTAGGGCCGATCAGGGATAGTGGAGGGAACTTGTGCGCGGAATCGGAGGAGGTAGGGGAGGTCCTTAATGAATACTTTGGTTCAGTATTCACCAGTGAGAGGGACCTTGACTTTTGTGAGGACAGCATGAAACAGGCAGATATGCTTGAACAGGTTGATGTGAGGAAGGAGGATGTGCTAGAAATTTTGGAAAACATGAGGATAGAGAAGTTCCCTGGGCCAGACAGAATGTACCCAAGGTTCCTACGGGAAGGGAGGGAAGAGATTGCTGCCCCTTTGGCAATGATCTTTGCGTCCTCACTGTCCACTGGAGTAGTACCAGAAGATTGGAGGGTGGCAAATGTCATTCCCTTGTTCACGAAAGGGAATAGGGATAATCCTGGGAATTACAGACCGGTCAGTCTGTCTTCTGTGGTGGGCAAATTATTGGAGAGATGGTATTTATGATTATTTGGAAAAGCAAATTTTGATTGGAAACATCTAGCATGGCTTTGTGAGGGGCAGTCATGCCTGACAAGCCTTATTGAATTCTTTGAGGATGTGACAAAACACACCGATGAAGTTCAAGCAGTAGACATGGTGTATATGGATTTTAGCAAGGCATTTGATAAGGTTCCCCATGGTAGGCTCATTCATAAAGTAAGGAGACATAGGATTCAGGGAAATTTGGCTGTCTGGATGCAGAATTGGCTGTCCAATGGAATACAGAGGGTGGTAGTAGATGGGAAGTATTCAGCCTGGAGCTCGGTGACCAGTGGGTGTTCCGCAGGAATCTGTTCTGGGACCTCTGCTCTTTGTGATCTTTTTCAATGACTTGGATGAGGAAGTGGAAGGGTGCGTTAGTAATTTTGCCAATGACACGAAGGTTGGTGGAGTTGTGGACAGCGTGGAGGGCTGTTGTAGGTTGCAGTGGGACGTTGACAAGATGCAGAGCTGGGCAAAGAAGTGGCAGATGGAATTCAGCCCAGAAAAGTGTGAAGTGATTAATTTTGGAAGGTCGAATTTGAATGCAGAATACAGGGTTAATGGCAGGATTCTCGGCAGTGTGGAGGGACAGAGGGATCTTGGGGTCCATGTCTATAATTCCTCAAAGTTGCTACCCAAGTTGATAGGGTTCTTAAGAAGGCGTATGGTGTGTCGGCTTTCATTGGCGGGGGATTTCGGTTTAAGAGCCGCGAAGTTATGCTGCAGCTGTATAAAACCCTGGTTAGACCACACTTGGAATATTGTGTTCTGTTCTGGCCGCCTTATTATAAGAAGCATGTGGAAGCTTTAGAGAGGGTGCAGAGGAGATTTACCAGGATGTTGCCTGGACTGGAGGGCAGGTCTTATGAGGAAAGGTTGAGGGAGCTAGGGCTTTTTTTATTGGAGCGAAGAAGGATGAGAGGTGACTTGATAGAGGTGTACAAGATGATGAGAGGCATAGATAGAGTGGATAGTCAGAGACTTTTTCCCAGGGCGGAAATGACTATTACAAGCGGGCAGAATTTTGAGGTGATTGAAGGAAGGTATAGGGGAGATGTCAGAGATAGGTTCTTCACACAGAGAGGCTGGTGCGTGAAATGCGCTGCCGGCAGTGGTAGTGGAGTCAGATACATTAGGGACATTTAAGCAACTCTTGTATAGGCATATGGATGATAGTAAAATGTAGGGTATGCAGTTTAGTTTGGCCTTAGAGTAGGATAATTGGTCGGCACAACATTGTGGGCCAAAGGGCCTATACTGTGCTGCACTGTTCTTTGTTCAAAGATTTATTAGGATGTTGCCAGTAATGGAGGGGTTGAGATATAAAAACAGGCTGGAAAGGTTGGAACTGTTTTTCATGGAGTGTCGGAAATTGAGACGTGATCTTATTGAGATTTATAAAATCATGAGATGCATAGACAAAGTAAGTGAAAATGATCTTTCCCTGCGGTGGGGGAGTTCCGGACTAGGGGGTAAATTTTTAAGGTGAGAGGAGAGAGATCTACAAAGGACATGAGCAATTTTTTTTTACATAGAGGGTGCCAGAGCAATGGTGGTTGCAGGTACTGTTAAAATGTTTAAAAGACATTTGGATAAGTTCATGAATAGGAAAGTTTGGAGTGATATGGGCTAAGTGCAAGCAGGTGCGACTAGTTTAGTTTGGGAACATGGTCAGCGTGGATCGGTTGGGCCAAAGTTTCTGCTTCCATGCTGTATGACTCTATAACTCTCTGGATTAGAGAATTACAGACATTGTCTGCCCTCTGGAAGATGAAATTTCTTCATGCCAGTTTAAAATTAATGTCCTCTTTTCACAATGCTCCCTAGTTCTAGACTCCCCCACTATTGGCAACATCATCTCAACACCTACCCTGTCGACCTCCCTGCAAAAAGTCACATATTTCAAAAGATCACCCTCCTTCTCCTAAAATCCTAAATTATTTATCCATTGATGAGTCAACATCATAATGCCAGGAATCAGCCTAATGAATCATTTTTGAACAATTTCCAATGCCAGTGCATCCTTTAAAAATGGTAATTAAAACTGTACGTCGTACTCCAGGTGCGGCCTCATCAACACCCTGTACAGTTACCTATTTATAAGCTTCAACCTCCTAGTAATAATGGCCGCTTTAATTTTTGCTAACACTTTGTGCCTCGTGCTCAAGAACACTCTGAGTTGCACTTTGTTTGGACTCTTTCTCTCCACTTAAATAATGGTCTGCCTTTTGATTCTTCCTACCAAAATGCATGGTCTCATACTTTCCTATATTAAACTCCATCTGCCAAAATTTCTGCCACTCATTCAACCTTATCTGTATCCCATTGCAGATTCTTATCCTTATCACAGTATGTCCTCCCACCTATTGTATCATCAGCAAATTTGAATATATTAAAACTGTGCATTTGCGTGACTACTTTTCAAATTTTTAACATGGAAATACCATCAATGTCCAGATGCTGTACTGCTGTTTGATAATTGCTTTATTTCTCACCTCAGGAAGCACAAACCTCATGCAAAAGCGGAGCTGGCACTTTATCAGTTATATTTTTGACAGTTTGTGCTACTGTTTTGGTGAAGTAATGAGGGCTGTGGGCACAGCCCAAATACATTAGCTAATATGGTTTCTATTAGTGTTGAGTTCTCTTTTTAACCATTTCGATCACTGATGGTCAACAGCTGTTATAAATAGAGATAATGTATTAATATGAATCTGTACATTTTCTGTCAATATGTTAAGCAGTGTTCTGAAGGAATTTGACATCTTGAATATAACTATGCTTTCTCTAACTCTTTTCCTATCTAATGCAGGAATATTGCTGACAATGCATTGCTACAGTGGAAACCTTTCCTTTATTGGACATTTTTGGGACTGTTCAATGGTGTAGTATTTTTCTTTGGGGCTTATTTCCTCTATGAGAATTCAGCCCTTGCAGACAATGGTCAGGTCAGTACAGAAGTACTTCTATCATTAATGACCATAATGCCAATTTTGATCATTTAAGCAGTCTATGAAAAGACATTTGTTCCAAAGTGTTCAGACACCGATATTAAAAAAAAAAGTTGTATTTTACTTGTATCACAATACTCAAAACAAAATAAATTTTACTTTTAGAAACATCCATAATCACGTTAGAATTATTTATTTTGAAATGTAATTACTTCTATATAAGTGAATGCAGTAGCCTTTTTTTTGTAGAAACAGATCCCATAAGCAGAAAAATTGTATTGCAGGATCACTGAAGTGTTACAGCTCTGAAAATCACTCCAAGCTGTGTTGACTGCAGTGAAGATGCATGAATAGCCGTTAGTCCACCACATGTCTTCATCTTGATCCAACCAACAGGGTGGGTGAGAGAGGGACGTTTGACTGTTCCTCTGACTATCCACAATGTGAGGGAAAGAGTCTCCTATTGGTGGTTCTGGTGACAGCCTGCATCTTACTCCAGTTGGAGTGGGGTTTTTTAAATAATTCATTCATCCATGTTAACAGATATGATGACATTCTACTTGTATGTAATTGAGCTTTGGTAGACATGTCCGTGTTGAAGACCTGGAGGAGGACCTGAACAGTGAATTACTCCCAAAAACCTTTTGCTTCCGTAGCAACCTGTACTGAAGACTTTTATTTGCATTCATGACAACACTAGAAAACAAAGATCTTTGTTTTTCATTGAACGATGCAAGCAGAGGCACTCTACATGTGTTTATAATGAGCTAATTATTCAGATTTTTTAAAATCACTGTTTAATTTTTATATTTTCAAATTGAATTAGATTAGCTCCATTGCTCTCAGACTTAATCACTTTGTATTTCCAGCTGGTATTTATTGTTTGACCTTGTCTATTGCAGATTTATGGAAACTGGACTTTTGGAACAATTGTCTTCACTGTTTTGGTGTTTACAGTTAATCTGAAGGTCTGTGCATATTAAAAATTGTTCATATTTTACTAAAAAGTTACAGAAGATGTGAAAATAGCATTATTTTTAGTTTGTTGTTTCTTACATGGCGTCTGTAATTTAATCCAGAATTTTTAACCAAAGGTGCAAGATATTTATAATTTAAAAGGCAGCTCTGCTTTAATTATGCTTTCAAATTTAAAAACAGAAGCTATGTTTTTCATTCATGAAATGTGAGCATCTGGAGCAAGGGTGTGGTTTATTGCCCAGAAGAAAGTGTAGATGTGCCACTTTATTGAACAGTTGTGATCCACGTGGTGCAGGTACACATACATTGTTATTAGGGAGTTTCCAGGATTTTGAAGAAGTGACAGTAAAGAAATGATGCTGTAATTCCAATTCAGGATGGTCCGTGACTTGAAGGTGAACTTGGAGGTGGTGATACTCCTGTTACCACTGATCATCTACACGCTAGAGGTCTGGTTTAGAAAGTGTTGTCAAAGGATCCTTGATGAGTTGCTGCAGTGCATCTTGTCTGTGGTACTTGCTGCTGCCACTGTGTTGATGGTGGAGAGAAATCGATGCTTTCACAACTCTGATAGGAATAGTACTCTGGAGATCACCACAGTATTCCACAAGTCATTATGAGTTTTAAATTTAACCAGTGTAATATCTAGGATGTTTAATGCCTGACTGAACAAGCTTTTTTTTTCAAGTCAACAAGCAGAGAAACAAGAACTTACTTATTTCACAAACTTTGCCACTAATGTGGCAAAGACAGATTATTAATGACGATTGCAAACTTAAACCCTACCTCTTTCAAATCTAAATAATTGCACATTAACACATAGGACAGACGGAGTGATGAGACAAACTGTGTCTTTTTAGGAGCATCGTGAGTGGAAAATAAATACAAAAACGCAGAGTCTGTTATTAATTTTGGCCAGAGTGTTTGCTAGGTATACCTGGTTGGGGTATATCCAAGCAGTGAGTTAGCTATATATAACTTATTAAAAGCCTTTAAGTGTTGGAGAGACTCCGGTCTGGCAGCATTTGTGGAGAGAGAAACATAGTTTACATTTCAATTCCAGTATGATTCTTCTTTGAGAACAGAAATAGACCTAATTACTAAAAAACAAAGTATTCAAATGTTGTAAATTTTTGTTCTGAACATGGCTATTTAACATAGAAACAACTCTGGTGCAGCATGATTTTCACTGCTCTTAATTATTCCTGTATTACCTAGAACTTTGGGCATGACATGGTATAAGTGCCCATAGTTCTTCAGGAATGATGTATTCTACTTGCAAAGCCTATTTTTGGACGCTAAAACAATTGAGAGATGTGCAGTAAGTCGAGGTGAAATAGGTGTGTGATCATCTATGGTGGAGTAGGCTTCACCTCCACTCCTGGTTCTGAATAATGTCTCTGCCTTACCTACAAGTTAACATTTCCTTCTCTCTCAGTATCTAAATATCTAGCTATCTGATGGTTGGACCTTAAACTTACTCTTGATGAGTACTAAAATAAAAACAGAAAATGCTGGAAATACTGAGCAGATCTGGCTGCCTCTACAGAGTGACTTATCATTACAGGTTTTGATTAAAGATCACAGGTCCTTCTGATGGAATGCCTCAAGCCTGAAACAATAACACTGCGTTTTCATCTCTCTGCCAGATTTGCGAAGTGCTTCAAGCATTTTGTGTGCTTATTTCAGATTTCCAGCACCTGCAGTATTATGCGTTTGATCAAAAATCACTTTGGTTTATAATTGAGTCAGATCTTTCTTGTTTACACTGTCATGATCTATCTAATAGAAACAATCCTGTTTTAACTTATTGTTAGAAGCTGAAAACCTTGCACCAGAAACACTCAACATTGGCTAAAACAATGAATAATTAGGAACTATGACTTTTAAAAGATCTGGTACCACAGCAAGCTTTCATATGTTTGTCGTGGCAAATTGAGAATTAGTTTACCATGGATTTGTTTGAATTATTTTGATGTTGAACTTGCTATATTTGTTTTATATTCACTGTTTTGTCTGAAATAATTTGCTTGCATAACCACTACAATTTTGATTGTAAAGTGCCATATGCATTATGTTCCTCTCCTTACGTGATTAAGGAATCTGATGTTTAATGCACAGCTTTCATCTTACATCTTTCTTATTGTATTTTCAGCTTGTATTGGACACTCAATACTGGACATGGATCAACCATTTTGTAATATGGGGTTCTTTAGCCTTTTTTGTCATCTTCTCTTTCTTTTGGGGTGGCATCATATGGTAAGTAAATTTAAAAACCTTTAGCACCGTTTAAAAAGGCTACGCATTATGAAAGTGAAGATTATCATAGAAATCATGGAAACCCTACTGTGTGGAAGCAGGCAATTTGGCCCATTGAGTTTGTACTGACCCTCTGAAGAGCATTCCACCCAGACCCACCCTATCCCTATAACCCTGCAAGTTAATATGAGGTAGTCACACTGTTTTACTAACTGATTTATTAGAATGGATTTGAATCCAGGCCTCTTGCTCCAGGGTTAGGGACATTGCCACTGTGCCGCAAGAGAGCTGTGTCCTGGCTCAGAGGTTAACTGATTAAATTCAAACCATCTGAGTCAATTCTGATTAGTCAAAATGTTTGAATTTAGAGTTGACTTACTGGTTTTGAATTTAATCAGTTAACTAAGAGAATTGACAGTTCCTGCTGCATCTCCATGCTGACCATAGTTCAACCAATTGGCAGTAATTTCTTATGCTGAATGAAGTGTTCAGTCATAGGGTGTACAGCGCGGAAGCAGACCTTTCGGTCCAACTCGTCCATGATGAGCAGATATCCTAAATTAATCTAGTCTCATTTGGCTCAGATCCCTGTAAATCCTTCCTATTCATGTACCTATTCAGATGCCTTTTTAAATATTGTATTTGTACCAGGCTCCTACACTTCCTCTGGCAGCTCATTCCATACATGCACAACCTGCATGAAAAAGTTACCCCTCAGATCCCTTTTATATCTTTGTCCTTTCACCTTAAACCTATGCCCTCTAGTTTTGGACTCCTGTCCCCTGGAGAATAGACCTTGGCTATTCTCGCTATTCATATCCCTTATGATTTTATAAACATCTATAATGCCACCCCTCAGCCTCCAATGCTCCAGAGAAAATAACCCCAGCCTATTCAGCCTTTCCCTATAGCTCAAACCCTCCAATCTCAGCAGCATCCTTTGTAAATCTTTCCTGCACCCTTTCATGTTTAACAACATCTGTCCTATAGCAGAGAGATTAGAATTGAACACAGTATTCCGATAGTGGCCTAACCAATGTCCTGTACAGCCGCAATCTGGCATCCAAACTCCTATACTCAATACACTGACCAATAAAAACAAATGTAACAAATGCCTTCTTCTCTATCCTGTGTACCTGTGATTCCACCTTCAAGGAACTATGGACCAGCACCCTAAGGTCTGCTTGTTCAGCAACACTCATCAGGACCTTACCATGAAGTGTATGCGATACCTCACATTTATCTAAATTAAACTCCATTTGCCACTGCTTGGCCCATTGGCTCATCTGATCAAGGTCCGTTGTACTCACTGTCCACTACACCATCAATTTTGGTGTCATCTGCAAACTTGGTAACCATTCCTACTATATTCACATCCAATCATTTATATAAATGACAAAAAGCCATGGACCCAGCACCAATCCTTGGGGCACACTGCTGTCACAGGCCTCCAGTCCAAAAAACAACCCTCCTCCATCACCCCGCTGCCTTTTCTAAAGTTAGTTTACTTGTATTTCAATCCTACTAAACATGAGATGTAATGTTTTGACTTCATGCTTTTTTTTTTTTTGCAGTGATTTCTGCGAGTTATTTTAATTGTTATAATCACAGCTTGAAGTATTTGGGGCGGCACGGTGGCTCAGTGGTTAGCGCTGCTGCCTCACAGCGCCAGGGACCCGGGTTCAATTCCACCCTTGGGCGACTGTCTGTGTGGAGTTTGCACATTCTCCCCGTGTCTGCGTGGGTTTCCTCCGGATGCTCTGGTTTCCTCCCACAGTCCAAAGATGTGCAGGCTAGGTGGATTGGCCATGCTAAATTGCCCATAGTGTTCAGGGGTGTGTAGATTAGGTGGGTTTTAGGGGGATGGGTCTGGGTGGGATGCTCCAAGGTTTGGTGTGGACTTGTTGGGCCAAAGGGCCTGTTTACACACTGTAGGGATTCTATGATTCTATACATTTCAATTGTGCCATAATTCTACGTTCCTAGAATATTAATGTTTAGATAAATTCACACAAATCAATTTGTATTTTTAACAAAAACTTTGTTTTCAGAATCTTTGGGAAGAAAAATGTAATGTGAGAGATGGTAGGAACTGCAGATGCTGGAGAATCTGAGATAATAAGGAGTAGAGCTGGATGAACACAGCAGGCCAACCAGCATCAGAGGAGCAGG